CAACTTGTCTGTTCCCCTTTCCCCAATTCCCCAGCACTGTTCCCATCCCCCCAATTCCCCAATAAAAATCTTTAAAAAAAAAAAATGGGGTGGGGACCAGCTGAGTGGCTCAGTTGGTTACGAGCTTACTCAAGAGTTTGAGCTCTGAGCAACAGTGGTTCGAGTCCTGCCCAAGCTGAGCTGCTGCTGAGCTGCCAATAGGTGGCAGGATGGCTCAGCTAAATAAAAAAAATAAAATAAATAAATTGGGATGGGGTAACGTGCAAAACTGATGGAAAATAGAGCCGAGACAGAAAAGGATGCTGGAACGGACACCTGTTGAGACATTTTTGTCAGTATTCAGCTACAGGATTGTGAATATCGGATTACTGTTACCTGTGAGATTGAGGAGGAGGAAATGAATTGGAGACATGTTCACTCATTCTTTCAGTAAGCCTTTATTGAACTTCTGTTATGTGCTAGGCCAAGTTCTCGTGAGTACTCAAGCAGCTCAGTCCAATGACTACAATACAACATATGTGAAGTGCGGTAATAGAGGTGTGTGCAAGACACAGTGGTTCATAGAGGAGGGAGAGTTTCAGTAACCAATAATGCGGGAAAGAAGGGAAGAATTTGGTAATTAACAAAGTGGGGGACAAAAAGATTTTGAGCTTGGATGACATGCCAATAGCAGCCTCTCTGAAAGAGATAGAAAAGTCTGAGGGGAAATGTGGTTTTAGGAAAAAGGTGAGGAATTCCCTTTATGCCATCTTGAATAAGAGAACAGCCTGACATCTGGTTAGAAACATCCATGAGCGAGTTGGTGGTATCCGTGATCTAACTGAATGTTACAGGAGCCCTTGATGCAGAAGATCTTGAATTCCAAAAGTCACAGCTGCTTGGTTCAGTCTGACCAGAATTAGCAGTTGCAGTCAAACTAAAAATATTAATTGGTAAGAGAGGAGACAAAGGTCAGCTTGGGTGTTTTCTCTCCAGAGGGCTAGATGTCTGCCTTCTAGAGGCTTAGGGCTAGTCAGAGCTTTAGCTTGACACTACGACTGTGAGGTTGCCCACAATGGCAGCAGAGTATAACTTCTGTGGATCAGGAAAGAATTTAAGCTCCACTTCTGGAAGGAAGGGGGTTTAGGTGCAGACAGAGGATAGCATATAGGCAGCTGAGCCTGTTCCATCAAAGGGAAAAAAAACTCCACCCTTGTCTGGCTCAGGTCCTGTGCTTGCCGGAGATGGAGTGCTGCATGGGTGCTCCTTATGGCTCCAGCATAGCCTTCTCAACTTGGCGTCAGTCTTGTCCTTCCTTGTGGCTCTGTGTCTTTGCCTGCCTGCCTGGGTAGAAGGAAATGTCTGGACCTTGGAAAGGAAGGTGCTAGAATTCCTCAGCTACACACCACTTGTGGCACCTGAAAGGGAATTTTGAAAAATATTTTGCTAGGCAGATTGTAATTGTATGGCTTCTCTTACAGGTGACATTAACTACCAGGAATTTGCTAAAAGACTCTGGGGTGACATCTACTTCAACCCCAAGACGTAAGTAGGGTATGGGAAGTGACTCTTTGGAGGGGTGATCGATCCATTTTCCCAGTAAGCGAGGACAGACAGAGAAAGTTCCAAAGATTAAAACCTACTTTTCTCTTAGACATGGGCTACCATCTTTCCTGCTCTAAGTGAGCTCTAACAGGGTGAGAGGCTGTTTCTCTTGAGGCCATTACAGCTTAGTTCAGGCATCCATGAGAGTCATAACCATATTCCCTCTCAGGAATCTCTCTTTGGAAATTTCATGATCTCACACACACATTCCTTCCTCTTGGCCCTGCTCAGACTCAAAACTCAGGAAATATACCCTGGAGGTCAATGATACTGCCTTCTCCCTCCTGGGTCACCCATAACTTTTTTATTTCTCTTTAGGCGAAAGTTCACAAAAAAGGCCCCAAACAGCAGCTCCCAGAGGAGCTTCGTAGAGTTTATCTTGGAGCCGCTTTATAAGATCCTCGCTCAGGTGAGTGTGTCGGGCCACCTGGTTCAAGTCTGCCCTTCTAAGCACAAGGTGAACTTGGACTTCTCCCTGCCTCTAAACCTGCTCAGTTTTGTAAGTATGAGGATGATTGGTCACCTGTCTTCTGGAACTAGAACACTACAGTCCTCTAAGTGCTGTTAAATTCAGAGTAAAGGGGAAATGTACGAAAGAAAGAAAAAGGCACAAGCTAAAGAAATTTTGTGCAAAGATTTTGACTGTTCAAAAGAATGTGACACTTCAAAACTAATAATTTCGGTTATGGAGATTTAACTTACAGATATAATTTTCAAAGTCCTCTCTCTCTCCCTCCCTCCCTCCCTCTCTCTCTCTCTCCCTCTCTCTCTCTCTCTATATATATATGTATGTATATGTGTGTGTCTGTGTATACGCACATATATGTTATAGCGTTATTTATAACAGTAGGAAAAGGAAAAAAACCTGAAAATAAGTTAAATGTTCATCAGTGAGAATCTGATTAAATGAATTATGATACATGCCATAAAATGAAGTATTTTGCAGCCATTGAAAGAATGGCTGTATGAGTTTGGTTTTAATGACTATTCTGGGCACGTATGTATGTGATGTTTGTCAGACAGAACAAGATACATCAGACAGTGGTAAGGATATAGTTAAACATGTGGAATGCTCCAAAGAAAAGTAAAGAGTATAATGTTGTATTTGTATGAAATTGTGCTACCTAAAAGGCAGGACTAAAAGGTTAATGTTGTATAGGAATTTTCAGATTTTTCTTCTAAGACAGTTATAAAATATGCACGTGTTTAATAAGCATCGTGCACAATGAATACATGCATATACACAAAATGCGTGTGGCCAGTCCAACTGACAAAGTAGTAAAATATAGCAACAAGACAAAATAACATGATTAAAATTTATCAGTGCTGAAAAATACTTAGTATCTTGTGTCGGAGTGGAATGGATTAATAAAAGAAATTTATAGAATCTGTCCGGGTAGAGACCTCGAGTCGGCTGAAGATGATTTAGCTTGGCCCTGCCCTGACAGCGGATGGACTGCTAGGTGACCTTTTTTGGTTCCTTCCAGTGCAGTGATCCTCTAAATCTGAGAAGTCTCTAAATAGGGAAGCATAAGGGATTTCCTGAGTGGGCTGAGATGCTGCTTTTCAGACACCAGGGGGCAGCACTGACAGCAGTCCATCTGAGAGTGCCAGGTTTATTAGCTGATGTGGGCGTTTAACCAAGCCAGGGTGGGTTCGAAGGGTGGGTACCAAAGATTTCCCTGAAACCAAATAGCTGTCCTTGCCAAAAGCTCTTCCCATAGAAGAAAACCTAGTGCAGTGAACCTTCAAATTGACCGTTGGCCTTCCCTCATCCTCCCCTGAGCACCATAGTAGAGCTACCACTAGAGCTGACGTGGTGTCTCGTCCCGTCACAGGTTGTGGGTGATGTGGACACCAGCCTTCCGAGGACCCTAGATGAGCTTGGCATCCACCTGACCAAGGAGGAGCTGAAGCTGAACATCCGGCCCCTGCTCAGGCTGGTCTGCAAAAAGTTCTTCGGCGAGTTCACAGGTAATAAAGGGCTCACAGCGCCCTTAACATCACCATCATTATGTCCTGCCACATGTGTCACGCGGAACGTTACCCTACAGTGTTGCTCAGTAGATCTCAGGCTCTCAACTGCAGGTCGGGATACAGAGCACCCGGGGTTTTTCCTAGTCGCTTTCCTCAGTGGATGGTACCAAGAACTCTGTCTTGGGAAATGAAAGCAATTAACCAGGAGGAGGCTGCAAATAAAGGAGTCGGGGAAGCAGATTCGGAGGTCCTGGTTTTTTTGCCAGGGGGCAGTTAGGAAGGTGAACTGGTGGGTGATGTGAAATAGCNTAAAATTGAGATTTCCCCAGAGTGTATTCCTCACTGATCACATTACACTCATTTCCCGTGTTCCAGGACCTTTGTCTCTGCCCTCCAAGTTTCCCCTTGTCTGTCTGGTGTAGTTAACCTCTCGAAGATCGTGCAGAGTACTCCCAGTTCTGGGAAATCAGCTTGTTACTGGGAGTTAGGGAACAGCTCTATCATGTCACTTTCTTGGACCAGGCTGTTGGCAAAGCTGACTGGATTGTGTAAGCCCTAGCTGAGGGCAAGGGCTGGAGAGAGGCTGTGATACTGAGTCCCTGCCCTTTACGCTTGGCACTGTGTCAGCCTGGCTGTGCGCTCACAACTGTCTCTGTTTCAGCATGTATTCCACTGATGAGAACCTGATCCTGTCCCCACTCCTGGGCAACGTCTGCTTCTCCAGCTCCCAGTACAGCATCTGCTTCACACTCGGCTCCTTTGCCAAGATCTACGCTGACACCTTTGGTAAGCCCTGGCTGGCAGTCTGTCTCGCCAGCTTCCCCAGAGCCATGTGTGCCTTTCCTGCTGAATGGCTTGGAAATTGGCTTCATACCAGAATCCCAGTTGGAGGGAGCACCTTGTCAACTGTTACTGTCACATTTGGGGCTTTTTTTGGACCCTAGATCCTTTCTTCAAGCTAAGTGGTTTCTAAACAATGGAAAGATAAAGGTGACTGGGGAAAAAAGGATGAAGAAAGAGCTCATTTTAGGAATAAGTGAGACAGATTTTTGTCAGAAAGAAATTATCCATGCTCACCGAGTCCCTTCAGATCTCTTCCTCAAAGATGGCCTCTCCTTCCTCACTAGGAGTGCCTCTAGCTGTCTTTCCAGCCGTATCTAGGCACCTAGAAATTTTGTAGGCCTGCTTGAGAACTTGTGTTGGATATGCTGTCAGCATGAATGAGCCTCCGCGTGGATGCCCAGTTGAATGACTTTGTAGGTCCCTGGAGCCTTGACACCAGAGCCCTGGGACCAGCTTCGGAGCCATCTTAAGAGGCTCATGTCCCCCCGCCCTGCACCACTGTGCCTCCCCGTTTCCCTCAGATTCCAATAGGAACCGTTTCCTGAGTGTCACGTGTGTCAAATACTGTACTTCCTGAAAGGGGTCATTAGCACCCCGTGTTTAGAGCTGAGAGGACGGGCTCTGTGAGAGGTCTCACAGCTGACAGGCGGGGGGGCGCCGGCTTCTCTTCCCGCCAGTCAGCTGCCCTGCCTCATGCTCAGTGTGCACGTGTTCGCTCTTGTGAAAAAAATGGGCAAGGAAAACTTGATCTTTTTTTAAATATATGCATATATAATTACTGCATATTCATTGTAGAAGAGTGGAAAATACAGTAAAATCTAGTCAATAAAGCAAAAGTCAGCCATAACTTCATGGCTGACTTTTGCAAACATTTTGTTAATAGTTCCTTCTATCACTGTTTAGTGTTTTACATCAATGAGATCATATTTTATCTACATATATAAAATATATGCTAACACAAGATAAATAGTCACTCAACATTAGATCACAAGAATTTGCCTGTTTTATTAAAATTTATTTATAAAAATTATGTAACTGCCCATTGGTCCACTGTATAGATAGATGTACTAATAACTTAACCATTTTCTCATCATTAGACATATGTTTTGGTTGTTTCCAGACGGCTCTTTTAAAAATAAATGGATAGATGGGCAATATATGAAATTCATCTGAACAGGGTTCCTGTTTATATGTTTCAGTGTTTTTTGTATCAGCATGTAAAGCAAAACCCAAGACCGTTTCTGTAATTATAATGTATTGATGATTCATTTTTCTGATTGGAAAGGGCCCAGAGACTCAGGAGATTATTACTCATCCTTTGAACACACTGTTAGTTTCCAAAGGAGCCATCTGTGGGCTCCAACATCATTTTCATGAAAAGCCATGTATGGACTTCTAGAAAGTCAGCACTAGAAGGAGTATAGAGGTCATTGAGCTTTTCCCCTTCATTTTATGGGAAAACTATGCTCAGGAGTTACTGATGGAGTTGGGACTACAATCCACTTTAGTGCTTTTTCTATCACACCATTCTGCCAAAATTAATGCCATGTTCTCTTGCTAGGAATACAACAAAGCAGGATGAATAATCTCTAACTTCTAGGAACTTCGTCCAGTGGGAACACAGAATCCCACAGGTTGATGGAATGTAAGGCAGTGTGGGCTGAGTGCCAGGTACCTGCTGTAGGCAAATAGAGCTGAAATTTAGAGGGGAGAGTCAGTTCCAGTGGCTTAGGGGTCAGAGAGCTGCATAAAGGACATGCCAAGTGATGAGTAGGGAGCGGGGAATTCCGAGCTCACAGGGAGAGGAGGCACGGAGGCAAGTGATGTTGGCCCATGGCCTGTTCAGTAACGGGACTGTTTCACCAAGAAGTTTGAGTAAAACGGCTGGCAGGCTAGTTTGGGACCGCATTCAGGGGGGTTTGGAATGCCGGGTTAAGGAATTTATAGACTTTATTCTGTAGAAAGTTAGGAGCTATNAGGTCAAAATCACAACGAGAGACATCAGTGTAATTTACTAGCAACTGGCAAGCTCCAAGAGCAGAATGAACCCCTCTCGCCTACGAAGCCTTGAACATTCTCTTTTTGTGATTTTCAGAGAGGGGTTGGCATCAAAAGCACTCCTGTGACGGTGGTTTTGCCAGATACCAAAGGAAAATCTTACCTCTTCAATGTCATGGACACTCCAGGTAGGACATTCCTTGACCTCGTCTCCTTTGCTCCTGACTAATTAGCAAGCGCTGTGCTCCAGGCCTTCTGTTTTGCTCCTCTCTTTGCTCTGCTCTAGAATATTTAAATTTTAGGGAATTTTTGTTCACTTCAGCCTGTGTTAGTCCCTATGCTAGACGCTGGGATAACAAAGGTGAGTCAGACGTGGCACCCCAGCCTCAGGCACTCTCAATCATTTGAAGGAGACTATGGGAGCAACACACCAACTGCTGGTGAACACACAGGTTTTGGTGGGAGCAGCGTTCCTTGCCCTGTGGCTGACTCTGTCTTTTGGAAAGGACCAATTTGGAGCAGTTTTAAATAGGAAAATCTGTGTTTTGACAGATTGGCCTTTTTTGCCCCATAAGGTGCCTGGCACCCTCATACCTGTCCACCCTGCTTCCCACCAGCAGCGCCTTGCCAGGCACTGTCTCCATGCTCCAGTCCCTCCTTTGCCCTTTCTCCTGCCTCCAATTTGTCTTCTGTCCCACAGAACTCTGCTTACTGCTGATTAGACTAAGCTGGTATGTGAATGTGATTATTTTATGCTCTACTAAGTAAAACACTTCCTTATTTTTATGTTTGGGGACCTCCTGTATTAAAGTTTAATCCAAGGATATGACTAATGGTGGAATTTTACACATTGCAGAGAGCTGTGGGGAGAAGGGAAAGGGGATATTGGGGGCTCACATGCTTCGCAGTGCCCCTAGACCACCTATCAGTTAACTGTGCTTCATCCTGCCACCATGCGAGTGACGGCTTAGTTGATATTTGCTTTACAGGACACGTGAATTTTTCTGATGAGGTCACGGCTGGCTTGCGCATCTCAGATGGAGTGGTCCTTTTCATTGATGCTGCC